TGTCAAAAAAAAAGATCCATACTTATTTAACTCAAACAATTCTGAAAATTTACCACACATTATAAAATTTATCATAGCTTATTGTGCAGAAAATTTCAACATTTTATCACATTCTGAATTTTCTCATGAATTTTTGCAACAGTGATAAACTTTTTGTTTTGAAACATCAACTCATATACTTGCAAAATAAGCATGGTGAAGTCTATCCTTTCCACTTTTATTGAAATAAAAGATGCAAAACATTATCTAAATAACCCCAAGCAAATCCTAACAAAATAAAATGACGCTCCAAGCAAAACACATATCATGTGACGAATAAAAATATAGCTCCAAGTGAGGTTACTGCTGATGTTGAATACGAAAGAGGGGGTGCCTTCCGGGGCATCCCCAAGCTTAGTTGCTTGGATATTCCTTGAATATTACCTTGGGGTGTCTTCGGCATCCCCAAGCTTAGGTTCTTGTCACTCCTTATTCTCCTCATATCGATATCTCACCCAAAACTTGAAAATTACAATCGCACAAAATTTAACGGAACTTCGTGAGATGCGTTAGTGTGATAAAACAAATAATTCACTTAGGTACTGTCAAGACAAGAATCATACTTGTTCTCACATAATGCCTACTGTACTATATCATTTTCACAATTTATATTGACCAATATAAGCCATAGAAACAATAAGACAAGCAAACTATGCATTAAAAGCGGAATCTCTCAAAAACGGAACAATCTGTAATGATCTGAATTATGTTCATACTTTTGCAACTCTAAAAATTCTGAAACATTAGGACAATGTAGGGAATTTGTATATCAAGCACGTAAAAAATTCATATCAAATGCATGATCCGGTGAATTTAAACAATTATGCTACTGGGCGCAAAAGTTCCTGTTTTTCGTAGAATCAAATCAACTATCATCCACATCATCCCAAAGGCTTTACTTGGCACTTTATTAAAACAAAAGTTATAAAACATGATTACTACAGTGGCTTAATCAAGTGAGCACACAAAAACAGTAGGTATAAATATTGGCTTGTCTCCCAACAAGCGCTTTTCTTTAATGCCTTTTTAACTAGGCATGATGATTTCAATGATGCTCACATAAAAGTAAAGAATTGAAACATAATGGGAGCATCATGAAGCATAAAATCCTATCTCATAATAATTTTCAGTAGCATCATGAATGGATTCATCAATATAACCATCATACAAAGCATTCCTTTCATGATCCACAAGCATAGAATTTTTATTACTCTCCACATAAGCAAATTTCTTCTCATTCATAAAAGTGGGAGTACCATATGAAACTCGAATGCTATAATTTATTTCCACATTAATAGATTAATGTTCAGTAAAAGGATAATCAAAATTATGACAATAATTATCACTACTTTTTATAACATAGGTATCATCACAATAATCATCATAAGTAGCAACTTTGTTCTCATCATAGTCAATTGAAACCTCTTCCAAAATAGTGAAATCATTACTAAATAAATTCATACCTCCCAAATCCACTTTCATAATTATCACAATAAGATTCAACACCCTTGAAAATAGTGGGATCATTATCCAGAATTGACACTCTTCCAAACTGACTTTCACCATTGTAATCATCATAAATAGGAGGCATGCTATCATCACAATTAATACTCTCATCAAAACTTGGGGGACTAAAAATATCATCTTCATCAAACACAGCATCCCCAAGCTTATGGCTTTGCATATCATTAGCACCATGGATATTCAAAAAATTCATATTAGCAACATTGCAATCGTGCTCATCATTCATGGATTTTATGCCAAACATTTTATTGGATTCTTCTTCTATCAATTGAGCACAATTTTTCGATCCATCATTTTCAAGAAAGACATTATAAAGATGAATTATATGTTTCAACCTCAATTCCATTTTTTTGGAGTTTTCTTTTATAAACTAAACTAGTGATAAAACAAAAAACTAAAAGATTCAGTTGCAAGATCTAAAGATATACCTTCAAGCACTCACCTCCCCGACAACGACGCTAGAAAAGAGCTTGATGTCTACTACACAACTTATTCTTGTAGACTCGTGTTGGGCCTCCAAGCGCAGAGTTTTTGTAGGATAGTAGCAAATTTCCCTTAAGTGCATGACCGTGAGAGGCGTAGGATGAAGATGCTCTCTCTCAAATAACCCTGCAACCAAATAACAAAAAGTCTCCTGTGTCCCCAACACACCTAATACAATGGTAAATTGTATATGTGCACTAGTTCGGTGAAGAGATGGTTATACAAGTGTACTAATGATAGCAGATATTGATTTTTATAATCGGAATAATAAAAAACAGCAATGCAGCAAATAACAAAAGTGAGCACAAACGTTATTGCAATGCTTGAAATGAGGCCTAGGGTCCGTACTTTCGCTCGTGCAATCCCTCAACAATGCTAATATAATTGGATCACATAACAATCCCTCAATGTGCGATGAAGAATCACTCCAAAGTTCCTATGTAGCGGAGAACATAAGAAGTGATTGTTTGTAGAGTATGAAACCACCTCAAAATTGTTCTTTCCTATCAATCTTTCCAAGAGTTTGTACTAAAATAACACCAAGTTATCATTTTGATCGATCTATCTAAGAGTTCGTACTAAAATACCACCATATGATACACATCAACCAACTCTAATGTCACCTAGATGCTCCAATGTCACCACGAGTATCCGTGAGTTGATTATACGATATTCATTAAACAATGTCAGATTCATAATACTCAATCCAACACAAAGAACCTCAAAGAGTGCCCGAAGATTTCTACCTGAGAGAGTAGGATGAAAACGTGCATCAACCCCTATGCATAGATTACCCCAATGTCACCCCGGCAATCCGCTAGTTGAGTGCCAAAACATATATCAAGTCAATCAATATAATACCCCATTGTCACCATTGGTATTCATATGCAAGACATATATCAAGTGCTCTTAAATCCATAAAAATATTCAATCCGATAACAGCGAAATCTCAAAGGGAAAACCCAATTAATCACAACAAGATAGAGAGGGAGAAACGCCATATGATCCAACTATATTAACAAAGCTCGTGATACATCAAAATCGTGTCAAATCAAGGACATGAGAGAGAGAGAGAGATCAAACACATAGCTACTAGTACAAATCCTCGGCCCTGAGGGTGGATTACTCCCTCCTCATCATGGTGGCCATAGGGATGATGAAGGTGGCCTCCGGTGATGATTTCCCCCTCCGGCAGAGTGCCGAAACAGGGTCTAGACTAGTTTTCTTGTGGCTACAGAGGCTTCCGGCGGCAGAACTTCTAATTTAGGGTTATTTATGGGGTTTTCTATATTTATAGGATTTTTTGGCATTGGTTTCACGCGAAGATGGGCTTCGAGGGGCCCACCACCCACCAGGGCGCGCCAGGGGGCTGGCGCGCCCTGGTGTCTTGTGGGCAGCAGGGGGCCCCGTGGTTCTTTGCTCCATTATTTCTCTTCCAAAAAATCGTCAACAAGTTTCGTCCAATTCGTAAAAAAATCAAAATAGTTTTTTGAAACACGTGAACTTTTTCTAAATGTAAAAAAAATAATCAAAACTATCATCATTTTAGAAAAGTTTATAGCACTGTGTTACTTGTCTATGAGAAGAGCTATCCACGTTAATTGAACTTCAGTAGCATAATTCCTATAAACTCTTATTTTGCATGCCGCTTGTAGTTTTTGGGTGATAGGCTTGATTGTTTTCCTCAAGTTTTCAAGTGCCGTTGTGAAACTTTTATATTAATAAAAGGGTCTCCCATACTTGTTCTAAAAATGATAAGGAACAAAAGAAAAAGAAAAATCTTGGAGATTGGCTTGGTGTTCTGTAAACTTGCTGTTTCATAAGCCTCTTGTTTCTTCATAAGCTTATCTGTGGAGTCTTCATGCAAAAGTCTGGAATCTTGTGCTTCTACAGTATGTTTTGGGTAGTCAAACTATATTAAATCTTGCTGTGAGTTTCCTGCTTGTACATAGGGAAAATTTTGTTTTTGCCACTCTAGATTTTGCCAATTTTGCTTATGTCACTCTAAAATTTGACATCTCGTTTTTGCCACTCGTATTTTTGACAAATGTATCGCAAATGCCACTCTGTCAGGTCAAACCACGTTTTGACCAAACAGAGTAGGTAAAAGACCATTTTGCCCCTGGTTTTTTGTTTTGCTTTTGCCACTGCAGTTTTCGTAGTCTGAAATTTTGCTAATATCCGACAAGAACAACAGACCCATTGGTTCCGCTGAGTTCATCTGCTAATAAGAAAAGAAAATTATAAACTAGTTAAGCAGCCACGCATCCATATATTCACACATCTCTGATTCATTACACTTTCACACATATCATCAGGAGCGCAAGGTACACCACATACGTATGCTGATAGGCATCTCCCTCTCTCCAATTCAGCAGACTTGAACACAAATCAACACCAAGCACGCACTAAGCCCAACACATAACATGCATCTCCGATTCATCATGTGTAGATCAAGTAGGAAGCAACCTAGACGGGGATGTTGGAACCGCAGCCCTCTTGCTACGTCTCCTCTCACTCGAACGGAGGTGGAAGAAGAAGAAGAACAATGGACACGAGAGATTTTTCGGCCGGCACACGAACGCCGCCACAGACACACGAACAACCCAATCCTTTTTTCTTTCCGGTGGCTACATGGCTCTTGCCGACGCACATCACAACCAATACACACAGGGCTTTTTATACCCGAGATACACACGCACGCACTACCAGCCCGGCAACATACCCACGCACACACGTAGTAATCCAACCACTACTGGCCGGCTAACACGCTGACAGCCCATGCATGCATCCATATACCAACTGCCTAGACTAATTCATGTATGACTCGTATGGCTCGGCCACCATCTGCGACAACTAATCCAACTACATGCATGCACGAACAGTCACAGCACACACGACGCTGCGCCAACTGATACGCCGGTCACCACGCCGAGCCGTGGTTTACTCCTAACATGGGAGTGGAGCTACCGCATCTTGGACATACGGGAGCGCTGATTGGAGGCAGCGCCATGGACGCACGGGAGTACGTCGCAGCCATGGAGAAGAGCAGCAGGAGATGGACGACGAGGCGTGCCCACGCAGTCGGCGCTGATGACGAGGCGGAGCTCCGGAAGCGCACAGCCGGCGTTGGAGACGAGATAGAGGCGCGCAGGCCCTTGGGCTCCCATATCCCGGGTGAGCAGGGCTTGCGTCTCCATCCCGGACGAGAGGAGGTAGGGGAGGTGGGTCGTTGCCGTCGCTTGGGCACGAGGAGAGCGGCGCAGTGCGAGGAGGTAGGCCCCGACGGCGGGGCTCCTCCACGAGGAGCGCAACCGGCGGCAGGAATCGCGCTCGACCAGGCGGCAGTTGCGGCAGGAGCCGCGCCGGCCGGCAGGGGCGGAGGGCTGCGCGTCCGGCTGGAGGCAGCTGGCTGCTATGGCGCGGCGGGAAGTCGACTGGAGATGGCGACGTGGTGGCCGGATTTTGGTGGCGGCGCCCGTGATTGGGTGCGGGTGTGTGCTGCGGGTAGGTTAGCTTAGGACGAGTATGTGTATAGATTAGGGTCCGGGTCACTACCAAAGTGGACCCACAAGTCAGTAGGGGCAACTTATGTCATTTTTGGAAAAACTGACAGGTTTTTTCCTGGTCAACTGGGTAGAAGAAACGGTCAACTCATGAAAGTGTAACAGAATGGCATTTATGATACATTGTTAAAAACTAAGTGTGGCAAAAGTGAGATGTCAAATTTTAGAGTGGCATAAGAAAAATTAGCAAAACCTAGAGCGGCAAAAACAAAAATTTCCCTTGTACATATTACGTGATATTTCTGATCATACACGACATGATCTTACAGTCAAAATATAGTTGTTGTTTAATCTCCTTTTTTTTGCATAGAAAGCTACATAGTTAAATTTGACTAGGAACCAACCAGCATCAGCTGAGAACTATGTCCCACTAAAAAGTCCTATAAGTATTAGTTTACAGAGGGAGTATATGATAATTAATCCAATCAGTACATGGAACTGTTCTGAGCCTTGAGATCTGGTACAATTACTATGAGCATAGTCCAGTCAGTACACGGTACTCTAAAAACGAACTAGCTTATCTTAGCTACTGCTAATTAATTCGGTTAATCAGTTCTACCTGTCAAAGCTAGATATAAATAAATGTGCATGTGCAATATTGAGCAAGATACATAGTAATAACACGAGCAGTTTCGTTAGAAAGTGATCCACCATTTTGTATTCTACCACTACTATGACAAAAGAAACGTACTCCATCTGTGCAACATATATAGATCAGAAGCTAATTGCCTTGTCGAACAGACTGATTCAGCTACTGAGTGATTGGTATGATCGATGTTCTGGTCGACTTGCTTCCTTCTGGGAGGCAATGGAACTGAAGAAGTGATGCATGTGTGTTGGCGTCATCGCGAAACCGAAGTCCTTTTTCTTTTTCTTTTTTTCTTTTTTTGCATTTTGAGAGGTGGTTACAAACGCCAAGTCACCAGAGCAATGGCTCCTGGCGTCAGTTTATTGACAATCTTAAGACTATAATTCGAAGCCTTAGTTGAGCAGATTGTCTTGTTGTTAAGCAAATGGGCGATGGTGTTGCATTATGATGCATGCTTGCCTTTGATGCTCTTGGTTGATATGTCCTTTGAGCGATTAAAGATTATGTTTCTATTGATTCTAGTAGTAGTTGATGTAGTACTATATAGCTGTTCATGCTGTGTGCTGTGTTGGAATGAAATTGTAGGTTCTGGGAGCCATTAGTCATTTATATGTTGAAATAAAGCTGAAGCAAATCTCTCCGTGCGTAGCAAACACTCGAATCCCATTGTTAGATTGTGGAGCAAAATGAAGCCTCCTCAGGGCGTCTGGTTCTGGGCCGTCGGATTAGCTGTCCAAAACGATCCTGGCCGTCGGATGTTCAGATGGAGCGATCTGGACCGCCGGATCGAAGCCGACACTGCTACAATGAATAGCGTGTGCTCAGGTTCGTGCCACCGCCGGTAATTCCCGTGCCCCACTGAGGGTATTCTCTTCTTTTCACACACGCACGTATAAAAGGCAACTCGTCCGTGGTGGAACCCTAGCCGCATCTCTCCTTTCCCATTCCTCAGCCTTCGCCCCTCGCCCCAACTCCTCTCTCTCTTCCTCCCGTCCCTACGCCACCCTGCCTCCTCTCCTCCCGTCGCCGTCGACCACCCTCCCCGCCCACCGCCAATCCTCCCCGCCCGCCACCGCCGCAAACCATCCTCCCCGTCCGCTGCCGCCCCGCTCTCGCGTCCACGCTCGCGCTCGCAATTTCCCCCTCCCTGCTTCTGCCGCCGACGCGGGTCCTCTCCATCAGTCCCCTCTCGCCGCCCCCGACACCCCTTCTCCTCTAGTGCCAGGAGGGAAGGACCCACTCCCTTGTCCAGGTGAGCCCCCCGCCGGCCGCGAATTCCTCTGGTTTCTCTGCTGTCCCCGGTTATCTCTGAGTAATCTCGTGCTTTCCTTTTCTTGGTGATGATGCAGTTCTTGACAGACGAGGGGGCCATCCCAACACCCTAGGAGGAGGGGACGAGGGAGCAGGTCATCTGCGAGCTCAAGATGGTATTGGGACATGGAGATTCCGGCTTGGAAAAATCAGATATTGCGGGCATGTGCGTCAGGCTGGAGTTCCTGATTTGTTCTGTTTTCGCTTCTTGCTCCTGCAGATTGTGACGGATTGGGCCAAGGCGGTGGCATGTGAGGAGAGGGTTCCCCCGAGGCGAGGGACGGCTGCGGTCCTGACCTGTCGTTCTTACACGTTAGGGGTAATCAAGAACGCAAGATATTTGCAAATGTGTGGCCATGGTTTCTTTGAATATTTGCGAAAATGATTGTTAGTTCCACACAATTTGGAGCCGCTGTACATGTGAATCAAAACCTACTGGCAGTGTTTTACTTACATTTTGATTTTACATTTTCTATGGTCTTCATATACAAGACGAATTTAAAACGACATCTCATTTAAAACTCCTATAAGATCAACATATGCATCTGCAATTGATGAAGTTTCATAGGATTGGTGGACTGGTCTAGGTAGAGAAGTAGATTAGTAGAGTAGATAATGTGCATAGCTCTTTTGCCGCAGCTAATATATGATTGATTAATGGCCACATGAGAGATTACCAAAGAACAAAGCTCTCTGTTACTTCACTTACGTGATCCTCTTAGCAGCCCACAAGATGTCTGATGTAACATGATTATTTTTAGGCGTAGCTCAAGTTTTGAAGGACATTGTTCATTATAATGTTTTCTAAGTATCAGTTTTCAGGGATGATTGTAGCTGGATCCAGTCTGTAGTTGTTCTTGGAGACATGCTGAGTTCATCCATCCCACTAATTAGCTAGAGCAAGTTGAGCCGTGATATAGAAGTTATTTGTTCTTGCTTGCTTTTTCTTGTGTTTATATTCAGGCCTAACTTCACCAATTTGTTGTTCCTTTATTTTCTAACTCTTCATCCATCCCACTAATTAATTAGAGCAAGTTGAGCCATGTATATGTTTTTCTTCAGGGTTTGGACATCAATGCTGTATTTCTCAATTTTGTGGCTTTCGTACCATTCTCATTGGGAATGATTGTCCTGTGTGATCTATCATGGTTATTCTCTTCAGCATCCAGTCCTATGCTAGCAAGAGTAATGACACAAGTGGATATGCCAAGCAAATATGTCCTGCTTGGATCATATATGCTTCTGTAACAACACTGATTCAGGTAGACAGTTATAAATTTACCACAAATAGAAATAAGCTTTCTATACACTGATAAATAGAGCATTGGTGCACTCGCTCAATTCTGAAATTATTCATATTTATGGCTTAGTATAGTATACAAGTTATTCTTTATCTGATTCAAAACACTACACTTTGTTGCTGTTGCAATCAGCATAATGGTCTTTCTTTTAGATATTATTGAAGCTGTATAAACAACATGTGCTTTTGCGGATGCAGATTGATACCTCCTGTTAATTGGCTGGTTGCAGTGGCGACGCATCAAGGTGCAAGGCAGCGGCAGCAAGTTCATACTACGGGAAGGGAAGATCTCCTACTATTTTTTATTCTCCATGACATAGGTGAGCTGCCACTTTCTTCCCACATGTTCGTGCTGATCAAGTAACGCCCAGAATAAATTGTGATTGCGATTAGTATCTGTAGATATTGGCCATTGGCTACATTTGTCAGTACTATCATTCTACTCGCTTGTGTAGCAGCCACTAATGTGATTCTTTGTTGCTTCTTTGCAGACATTTGATTAAGTCAAAGGCAACAGGACTATCTGATATGTTATCGACGTCTAAAACCCATCTTAAGTTTTGTATCTTATTGATTCGGTCATTTACTCTGGTAAAAAGTGTTAATGATGGAGAAATGGGTGAGTTAAATAATGCAAACCAGCAAACAAAATGGTAGTTGTTTCCGCACAAAAAATTGCTTTGCTTTAAAATTTTGCTCTGTATATGTTCGACGCTTGGATTAGTTACGTGTGCATCTAACCTAAGTTTGTATATCATGACGATCATCACTTCTAAGTGAATACTGTCTATTACCAGTCAAATGTACCTATCTATTCTCTTTGCATTTCACCTGCTTTTATATGATGTCTGTCACCGGGTTAGTTAAAACGTACTGTATGGGGTGCGGCTGGCAGTAGGTGCCTCGCCTCTTCTGATTCACCCTGCTGCACCTCTTTTCCATCCTCTGATTCACCCTACTGTGCAGTAGGTGCCTCGCCTCCTCGGCACTCTCCAAGAGCCTAGGTGAGCTGCTGTCTGTTCTCTGCCCATAATGTTTTTCCATTTTGTATGTTTTTCTCCATAGTTGTTAATCAGTTAATCCCGCACTGGATTGGGTAGTAGCATTGTCTACTGGATGCTTACCAATGGAATCATCTGGGCTAAGAAAATGTACTCTATTTTGATCTCTGATGCCACAATTTCCTGATATTAAGTAGTGATGCTTACATGGCTACCTTATGTCTGATGCGAACTTTTGCCATGTACTGTAGTAATATTTAGTCGTTGTGAGATGTAGATTTCCAGAAATATCAAGGGGTTGGGATATTGCATATTTAGGCCTGAATTTTGTCTTGCCAAAACTGTTGTACATATAGCGATTTCTTCAACTTCTGTATGGTAGTAACTATGGCTGAAAGACCAGCTCACTTTTGTTCTGAAATGCATAATTAGTACTTACATTACAGCTCTGAAAGGTTCTCACCTAATTTATGCTTCTAATAAAACTGGGAATATACTCATCTGGCTACATTCATGTGATGTTATAGTTATTTATTTTGTAATATTCTTCATTCCTTGGAACTCATTAACATAGTTATTTATTTATTTTTGTTATAGATTATTTACATGTTCAAGTAGCTTAATTATCTGATAGACATATTTGGAAACAGGCGGGACATGGCAGGGCTTTGATTTCATGGATCATTCCGCTGTCCTGCTAACAAGATTGAGGAACAAAGGAAGTTATGGGGAAGACTGGTCATGTTGTTAGTAAGAAAAGATCGATCAAGTCAGCAAGAAGAAAACAAGAGGAAAATTATGAGGCGCCATGGGAAGGATGATTCCTTCCTCCTACTAACTGCGCCCTGATTGCACGCATGTGTTTTGTTGAACCAATGCCTCCTGGTATACTATCTTTTTCTTTGTCAGATTTCCTTTCATTGCAATGACCATTTGGGGCTCCCTTTAGTATTCGGCCTTGATGTTTGCATATATAGGGACATATCCAAATAAGCAACTTATGACGTGCTTGTGTGATAGCACATAGCAGCATTAAACCCCACCATGGTTAATTTATTTAAAATGTAAAATCAAATCAAATCTGGAATAGAAATGTTAAGTTGGCATTGAGAGTAAATAGTAGGCCTTGATGTTTGCATATATAGGGACATGTCCAATTAAGCAGCTTATGTCGTGCTTGTGTGATAACAGCATTAACCCCTTCCATGGTTAATTTGTTTAAATCTAAAATGACATCAAATCTGGAATTGAGATTGTTATATTGGCATTAAAGTTTACATTGCACATGACTAGACGGTGTTGATAATGTAAGATGGATCGAAGTGTCTTGCCCTTGTTCGAGGGGACGCGTGCGTGTTATATGGCAGGGGCATATCCCTGGATGCATACATAGTTTGGATTACAAGTCAAGGCATGAAGAGATAGAAAGAAATACAATAAGGTTTGAATAACGGACTTCCTATTCTATCTCTAGTCTAACTATAACTTGTAGGACTCTCCAGGTGGGCCTCTACCATATCTCAATGATTGTTAACACCCTCCCTTAATCACAACCGTGATAGGTTGAGATTATGCTTGAATGCTTCATAGCTTCGTGTGGGCAATGCCTTTGTAAATCCATCCGCAACCTGATCTTTAGAATGGACAAATCTGATTTCAAGTTGTTTATTTGCAACTCGTTCTCTAACAAAATGAAAGTCTATCTGAATGTGTTTAGTTCTTGCATGGAAGACTGGATTGGCAGAAAGGTATGTCGCACCAAGATTATCACACCATAAAATTGGAGCATGTTCATTATGTACTCCAAGTTCCTTAAGCATAGACTGCACCCAAATAATCTCCGCTGTAGCATTTGCTAGGGCCTTATATTCTGCTTTTGTACTTGACCTGCAAACTGTAGCTTGTTTCTTTGCATACCAAGAGATCAAATTTGAACCATAAAATATTGCAAAACCACCAGTAGACCTTCTGTCATCTACACACCCTGCCCAGTCAGAATCAGAAAAGGCACTAACAAGAGTGGACGATGACTTCCTGAATGTCAACCCAGTATCTGGAGCACCTTTAATGTATCTCAATATGCGTTTTGCAGCTGTCCAATGAGTGGTAGTGGGTGCATGAAGAAACTGGCATACCTTGTTTACAGCAAATGAGACGTCAGGTCTAGTAAGGGTCAAGCACTGAAGTGCACCTACTATGCTTCTGTATCTTGTGCCATCCTCTTGATTCATGAGTTCTCCATCTGTAAGAGATAATTTTTCTGTACTGGACAAAGGTGTTGGTGCTGACTTACAATTCTGCATGTTAACCTTTCTGAGAAGATCAGTTGCATATTTTTCCTGTGAGAGGTGGAGGCTATCATGATCTCTTTTTACTTCAATACCAAGAAAGAAATGCAAGTCTCCAAGATCCTTCAAAGCAAATTCCTACCCTAAGTCCTTTAGTAATGATGTCACTGCTTCATTGGATGAACTAGTAACAATGATGTCATCAACATATATAAGTACAAATATGCATGTATTTGACTTGTTATAAATAAACAGTGAAGTGTCAGACTTAGAAGGAACAAAACCAAGTGCTTGCAATTTCTGACTTAGACGAGAATACCATGCCCTTGGAGCTTGCTTCAGTCCATATAGTGATTTATCAAGCTTGCAAACATGGAAGGGTGCATCTTTGTTTTCAAACCTAGGAGGTTGTTTCATGTAGACTTCCTCTTCTAGAACACCATGAAGGAACGCGTTCTGTACATCTAGCTGTCTTAGGCACCATTCTTTTAACACAGCAATGGACAAAACAAGACGGATGGTAGCAGCTTTCACAACTGGACTAAACGTATCCTCATAGTCTATGTCGTACCTTTGTTTGAAACCTTTAGCAACAAGCCTTGCTTTATAGCGATCTATAGTTCCATCAGACTTTCTTTTGATTCTAAATACCCATTTGCAATCAATCAAATTTTTACCTTTAGCCCGAGGAACTAAGTGCCACGTTTTATTTTTCTGAAGTGCCAAAAATTCTTCTTCCATAGCTTTCCTCCAACGTGTATCACTGAGTGCATCCTCGAGATTATTGGGTTCACCTGCCGAGCATGTCAAACCATATTTAAGAACATTCTTATAACTAACTGGTTGAATAACCCCCTTTTGTAGGCGTGTACATCCAGGTCTGTTGGGTGCTACAGGGGTGTTGGGCGCAGAGGATCCAGGATCCTGATCAGAAGCTTCTATAGAGCCTGGCACATCCAATCTCGAAGCAAACTCGGGCTGATCTTCTGTGGCAGAGGCAGAACACACAGGTGAAGCAGCTGGTGCAGAAGATCCCGGCCCAGCTGGATTACCGCCAGGACCAGCGCGCGCATGCCGCCGCACGTAAACCTGCGGGTCGGCAGTAAAACGTGTGCCAAGCCGCGTCTCACCCTGCCACGTGGGCGAAGGTGATTGGTGCGGGCCTGTCTCCTCCTCTGATTGGTCTCGGGGCCGCCTCGTGGCCGTGCGTGGACCGCCTGTGGGCGAGACAGACGCACCCGCCTGACGCGCCTCTGGGTTCGCCTGTCGCGCCTCCGATCCCGAGGAGAACCTGGCAGGTTGGTCCACCTGACGCGTCTCTGCCGATCCCGAGGCAGATGCTCCGGCAGGGTTGTCTCCCAGTGGGAAACACATCTGATATAGCTCATTTTGGGCAGAGTTTTCACCGTTTTTTTCATTGTTTCCTTCTGATTCTTCAGTACATGTTCCTGTAGCATCACATGCCTCATTTTCACGGTTAGCAGAATTAGTCAATTGATCATTATAATTATCACCCCGTGATCAATACCGGATAAGTGTGAAGGAAGAAGTAAGATTTCTTTGCGGAGTTGGGCTCCGGCATTGGGATGAAGATGGGCAAAAGGAAAAACGGTTTCATCGAAGACAACATCCCGAGAAATATAGACACGCCCAGTTGGA